ATTGAAAACATATAACTAGTAACGTGGTCTAATTTCCATGATTGCATGGTATTACTAAATAAAGTACGATTTATACATGTATGTCATATCTAAGTAAGAAAAAAAAGAAAGAAAGAAAGAAAGAAGATAGAAAGAAAGAAAAAAAATAACGATAACTATTTAACTATTACTGTTACTTGAGTAAATTATGATTTAAACATTCATAAATTAAAGGCAATTCACTATTATACATTTTGTTCAGTTCTTTAATATGATTAAGATAGTATACAAAATTAACTCTACAAAACTCACGTCAACGCCTTTCTCTAATTCCCAGTCACCAGCCAGCGCTAGATTCTCTGATTCGAGCACCACAAGCTGTCTGGTCACCTCGTCTGATTTCCGCCTGTCTGATGCCACGTGCTTCCGGATTCCTTTTGGTGGTTGTCGTGTATTTGTAACATTGTCGTCATAACTTCCATCATTCGACTTCCGTCTTATGCTTTTCTTCTTTTTATTTGCATCACCATCAGCGTCCGCTTTCGCAGCAGACGACTTTTTTGAACTTCCGCTTCCCATTCTACTTTATTTTTCTGTAAGACTAAATAAATCCGAAACGTTTTCCATTTTTCTTTGTTATATGCGCCGTCTAATCGACTCTTACTTTAAATATATTTTCTAGTCCTTTTCAAAATATTACTACCATAAGATATTTTACATACCATAGATCTACACCTAAATGGCCCGCTCAAAGCATATCTTGTATGCCTTGTTAAAAGATTAAAATATCTTCAACAATTAAACAATAAGCTTTAATCGTCCTTTTATTTAGGCGATTCCTTATTCCTTAGAATGTGTTGTTTAAATATTCAACGGTGCTAAGTACCCGGATCTCACAAAACTATCTGACATCTAAGGACATTCGCATCAACATCATTGTTTCTGGATCAATAATAGATATGAATTTTTAATGACATCATTGCGTGAGACAACACCGTGTTTACAAATGTTTTCTTGTAATTGATGGACCAGAAAATCAGGTAACTAACACAATGAATTGAAATGACCATTTGATCAATCATTTGTAACCCATATAAAACGTACTTTACGCGCAGACTGGAAAATATTTTCATTCAAAGTTAATTGAAATAAACGAACTGAACTTAAGTGTTCACATTTATATACTGTAGAGAAATGGCGATAAAACAAAACAATTTTAAAATAACCTATAAACATTTTTAACCTGTTTACACATAAAGAGAGGATGATATTTGAGTTTTTTTCTATACTAATGAATACAAGATTTATTTTCATCGAGTAGTATGAAAATATATTCTTCATGAGTGAAAAAAGCCACGAGTGAAATAATTATGATAATTTTCATATCACAAGATGAAAATAAATCTATAGAAAAAAATCTTGAATTATCTGGGTTTTTCATACAGTATACATTTTTTTCTTTATTGACACAACAATTTGAAATACTTTCCCTTAAAATTTGTGTATTGAGAATAGTCCGGAAAGATACCCTTGAAAATACGGACAATATGTTTCACTGCAGTGAACAATAAATTTTATACAGTGAAAATACGGAAAATGAAAATACGTGAATTATTCATCAATATTGCTCAATATTTCATTTATAAGTATATATTTTCTTACATAAACTTTCATAATAAAAACAACGATGGGAACAATAGCAAGCTAGTTTTGTTTTTATTTACTGTACACATATCTTTTATATAAGGCCATTAAAGTATCACGTCTGTATTGCCTCCTTATTAATGGTGTCATAACTTAAACAACGTGTTTTGACATAAAATATTTGATAAATGAAGGACTGACATAATGTACTTATTTCACATATGTTTACTAAAGCGTTCTTCTCCTTCACATTACACAACTCAAAGTCAATAACATGCCCATTTTAGAAGTGATTTATGCTCCCCGTGTCCAACTGGGACGAAATTACAATGATCAAAATCTATTCGAAAAACTTGATAAATCATTAAATGATTTTATAAAGATCAAAGTAAAAATTGAGACGGTCTACGCTCAACATGTAGAATATTCACTATAGACTACTGAATTTCTAGATACATATCATTTTGTTATATTGATATTAGATCAACTAAAAGGTAATGTTGACAAAAGGCTACGTGCTCTATATACCATCATTTAAAATATCATCATTTTTTTTACTTGTTATCAATTCATTTGTCGACAGAGTTCAATCTTAGTTGACAGACAAACATTCGCATTTCAGACATGCATTATGTGAATTTATCATAGGTATACTTTCACAAATTAGATATCAAAACTTTATTGACAAAGAGCATTTAATGCATAAAAATTGATTTTCTGTTCAATGAAAGATCAAAGTAAAATTATTGAGACAAACTGTAGGCCCTAATACGCTTCCGTACAATTGTGAATTACCCGTGATGTTCATATCATTTGGCGGCGTATTTGTCTTTGATGTGCAACATCAAAATTTAACTTGCTTTTAACTGAAGTATGCTCGTTTTGAACATAGGCTAGGCATATATCATGTACATTTTCATTTGATAATTTGAATTCAAAGTTAACTTAACTTCTCAGAATAAAATTCTATGTTAATGCTGACCTGTCTTCGAAAATCTTGGAAAAAACGTGAAATTCCTACAGCGCGGCCATTTTGAAAGACGAATGACGTCAAATACGACGTCATTTACGTTGTCTTGACGTCACAAGACAACATTCTTTAAAAGAAACAAAAGTTACAATATAATTATCAGTTCGAATTTAATTCAATCTTACAATTTATAATAGAAACATTTAAATGCGCATGCTTATTCAATTATGTTTAATTACATTCCTATATATATAGGTACTCTCCGTACTATCTCATTAAAATCGTTTGGGCAACAACAACAACAACAACAACATCAACAAACAACAACAACAAAAAAAACCAACAACAACAACAAAAACAGACCTGAATCGGGCAAAAATGCGAGTGTTCTACATCCTTAAGGGTACGTAATATAACACTCTTCATTCAAGATGAAGGGTTAATGTATCTTTTTCTCGTATACTTACATTATGCAGAAACTCGAGGCCGCATTTGTTTGTTTGTTTCATTTTACGCCTTTTACCAACAGTATTTCAGTCATATAGGCGGGTAGTTTCCCAAGCATCGTTCCTGGAGAGTACATTAAAGATGTCGATGAAATAACTCTAGTAAATATATACAAATGGAGAATTAAGTTGTTTCAGAAAAAAGAACACACAGAGGAAACCCACTTTCTGCAACATCATGTATTTTTATTGTAGAAAAAAAAAAAGAAAACATCTTTTACAAATGTATCTTGGTCTCATTACTAAATTATTGTAGATGTATAAAGTAGCTATTACTCCAAAGTAGCATGTGGAGCAGGTTGGACGGCCTCATAAATCAAACAGTTTCCTTTCCCTTTCCTAGACAGTACATCTATTCTTCTTCTAAAATCTATGTGAAAGTATTCTATCAAATTGAGAAAAACACATTTAGCGAACATTTCCCAGGAACGCGAAAATAGGTTTTTGTTTTTAGATAAAACCACAGTCAAATGTTGATTTATTTCTTTGTTTTTAAGAGAAATGAAAATTAAAGGTGTAGTTTCATTGTAGAAAAAAGTAATTTGTGTATTGTGTCCTTAAGCAATTAGTTTTTTTATTGCCATAAAGTGTTTTGCTTACTTTTCCATTAGTGATATGGGCTACTTGAATTACTCGGATTTTATTTCTTTTACTAATACATAAGGACTCGAGACAATCATTACAGAGTGATCTTTACAAAATATAGGGAAAGAAATGGAACGAGCACACAAAATTATTCAAATTGAATTTTTGTGTAACTGCAAGTCTTAGAATGTTGTACTTGCGTTTTGATAACTTTCTGACTTTTGCTGTTCATTCACCTTGACCTTGGAGTTCTTTCACCTTGACCTTGCAGGACTTTCACTCTGACCTTGCCGCTCTTTCATCTTGATCATACCGCTCTTTCACCTTGACCTCTCCACTCTTACATCTTGATCATACCGGTCTTTCACCTTCACCTTGCCGCTCTTTCACCTTGATCATACCGGTCTTTCACCTTGACCTTACCGCTCTTTCACCTTGATCATACCGGTCTTGAACCTTGACCTTGCGGCTCTTACACCTTGATTTTGCCGCTCTTTATTATTGAACTAGCCATTCATTTACGTTGTATTTGAAATATGTATGAGAATACCGCCTACTTATTTTCAGAACATAGACTGTGAAATGTCGCAGGAAGATTACCACTGACCAGGCTGATACTATGATATTATATTAGCGTGATAGACTTGTCTGCAGTTTTCTATATTAGGTAATAACAATTATGAATTTAATAACGATAATGTAGCCAAGTGTCATAATGATTGAGAAGAAGTCACATGTGGTAAATTGTTTATCAAAATGCTATGTTAAAGTATGGTAGACTTTCATAAATTAATTAATATATATGTATGACGATATATGAGGACGATGGTCTTTCATATAAAATGTTATACCATTGTGTGACTATACAGAAAATTGTCACTGATTGTGGGCGTTGTCAAAGAAACACACTTTTTTTAAAATGAAATTAAGGAAACAGATAAAATATACATTGTAAACTAACTACATTAGAAAATTCACTTGTGACATTATGGATGTCGTCATTTCAAAACAAACCAGGTAATATTTAAATGTGGGTGTTAAATAAATCATCTGAATCACGGCAGCGAGCCAAATTGAATTCACCAGAGCACAGTTCAGCTAACATGTGTATGTGTGTGCGCGTGCGCGTTTGTGTAAAACGTTTACTGTATTTTCGAAACAGGAAATCTTGGCTTGTTAGTAGCATTTGCAACTTTTCGACTCTTGTCGTCAGTCTTCGGATGAGTTTGAATAATCGGCAAGGTACACCAAGGTAATTATACCCAGGTAAACACATCGGGGTAAATACACCAAGGTTATTACACCCAGGAAATACACCCAAGTATTTGCACTCAAGTACAACCAGATAGTTATATACATGCATATTAATTTGATCATGATCATTTGGCATGTTTGCCAGTATTTGTATCTTATGAATATCAAACAAACGTCTACATGTCCTTGAGCTATACAATCGTATCATCTTACTGGCTCAAAATCAATGTTAAACAAGCTCTGTTAACGTTGATGTCTAAATATCTTAAACTGTAAAATTTGAATATCTTGCATATAAAATCAACTGGAGCACTTAAAGACCATTTTTTTGCCCTAGAAATGCTTTAAAATTATTTCTAAAGTGCACTTTTATAATTTCCAAAAAAGGTACTCATTGGTCTATTTTTTCTTTTATTGTTTCTTAAATTTTGGCAATTAGTACTGTTATAGTGATTATGTATTTTGTTTGGAAGTCAAAATACGACTTTGGTTATATTTTGCTACATTTATGACCAAAAACTTCACATTTATTGCTATTTTCTTCAGGAAACAGGTATCTTACAAACCGTATACCCATTATTTAAATGTTTTAAAACTCATTATAAAGAAGTAAAATTAAAGTCATATCTGGGGCTTATTGTGTCTTTAAAAAGGCCAAATATTGAAGGGATAATAAAGAATATACTCGGAACTAAATTAAAAATTGATATTTGAGTTAATTAAAGAATTGAACACTTGAAATGATTATCATTAAAAAAGGAGTTCGCGAAATATCTACAACCCTTTTGTAGCGATCGTTCTAAAAAAAGTATAAATTATTTGAATAAAAACAAAATAAAACATAGAAAGATGCTAAATTGACAAAATTATTAACAAGCTGATAAGTGAAAAGGAAAATTAAAAAAAATAAAATAAAATAAATGAAAATACAACAACAACAACAACAAACAATAAAAAACAACAACAACAAATAAACAAAAACAAAAACAACAACAACACTAAATCTTTGAATCCTACTGAAAAACATGCAGAATTTGTTTTGATACAAATGTATTTCACTTTTTGAAAAGATAAGAACATTCGGCGATATTCGACATAACTCGGATAAAGTAAACTGTCGCGTATTTATGTACATCGCGTTTATTTACCTTTACCGGTCTTGTTTTGATGTACATGTAAATAAAGGATATCACAAATTGTAAAAGCAGACATATATTCTAAATACTGCATTTACATGGTGTTTTATTGCACTGGCTGACAAGTTGGGGACATATATCTTATATAACAGGAACTGGTCGGCTCATTTTACATGACTGTACTCTAATTAACATACTGTGTTAAACTGTCATACGTATGCTAATTAAGACATCTATTTCGGTTCAACATTGAATCATAAATTATGTGCATTTCAAAAAGGACGAAACTTTGAAAGGGATTATAAAAAATCATGGACGAGGACGAAAGCGATTTACCTACAATGAAAAAAGGGAAAAAAGTTTTACTTGCAATAGACGGAAGCAAGTATTCAGTCGAGGCTTTTGAATGTATGTACTATCTGATATTTACTGTTTTTAATTTTACTTATTTATTCAGTAAATGATACACGGAATGATTTAGAAAAAAAGATATGTATACGGCGATTGTATATGGAAATTTATTCAATTTTCAACTGTCAACATTCAACGGCGATATTAGCCTTTGTGTTTGACATTTTAAGTTTTATAATTTAACCAGAACGATTCAATTTTTGAATATAAAAATATCTTGGAGTTATACAACATTGAACTAGATCTATAACCTTGAACTATGTAGAGCTTGTGTCAATATCAAAGTCTAAATAACATGATAAATATAAGCAGTCTTTACTTCGACGTTTTTGTAAAGTAAACCTTAAACCTTTTTTGTATTTAAATGCGTACTCGAATATTAAAATAATTAACAAACGATAATGTCCGAGTGTGTCCGCAATGTGTGTCATAGTAATACAATGTACATTGCTCGCACATGTTCGGCAATCTTCGTCATTTTCCGTATTCTGTATTTTTTGTTGATCTTGGTAGAGAGACGTTAGTTTTTTGTATGGATCTTTAAAAGACGTAGAAAAATCACTTTATTTTTCGCTTACTGACCTATTCATGATAATATTATGAAAGCGTACAAATGTCAAAGTTCTTTTCTATGTAATAAATATTCATAGGTCTATCATGAATATTCATTAGTTTAATGTCATGTTAATAAATTTACAAGTACATGTATATTGTTAAAATGTCAATGCCAGTCATGTTGTCCTGTATATAGGTCATGCATGTCTATGAAATAATATGCTGTTGTTTTTGACGTCGTATGTCACGACCCTACATTAGATGTAACAATTTTATATCTATAAATAAAGCGACCGTTGCTTTTCGTTGTAAGATTTTTCTCTTCAATCATTGTTAATTTTGCTGTAGATATATTTAATTTCCATTTTGAAAACTTCTAATATTTATAAGTGTCCCTATGAAAAAAAGAAAGAAAAAAAAGAAAGAAAAACAGCAACAAAAACATATCAATGGAAGTTAGGATACTTTTATAAATACATGTTATATTTTCATCGAAAATATGTGACATTAAAGTTAACATATATACATTTATATCTAACCACTTGAGCTGTTTAACAAACCTTTACACACCATAAAGGCAATAACATTAAAAAATAGTTTTCTCATTTTTATTTTGGTTTTATTTTTTTTCTAACCGCTTCATATCGCACGGTTTGTATGTCATAACTCGGATATCTTTTATGTACATAGTAACGGAAATATGCGGATAATATTACAAGCGTACATAAAGTTTTATTAAACTCTTAAAACGCCATATATCATACAATTTCAAAATAACTACTGAACTATTTATTGAATAACAAATGTATCAACACAACGTTTAAGAACAAAAGAGCATAGGAAAAAAATGATGAAAAACAAAACAACAACAACAACAACAAAAAAACAACAACAAGAACACCCCCCCCCCAAAAAAAAAAACAAAAAAAAACAAAACAAAAAAACAACAACAACAAAACCCAGACAATCAAACAAAAAAAACACCAAATAAAAAAACAACAACACAACACAAACAACAACAACAACATTAAAAGTAAATACAGTTCAGTTCAAGCCTCACCGTCACTGCACCGGTCATATGGTGACCTTCAAGATAAATTGATGGAGGAAAACTTTAGATGCACCTTATTACATTTCAGAATAACATAGAAATGGACAAAAGAATAATTAACAATAATTACAGACGTCAATAGTGCTATTTTATATCCTTTATTTTATATTACTTATAGGGTATGTGGAACAATTACACAAAGAACCTGATACAGTTGTTATTGCTTACAGCGCGGATCATCAACATTACTTAACCAGTAAGTTTTTGTACATATTGTCTTTGGACGCCTGAGGTTATTTTGGTAAATATTAAATGACGTATTTTTTACATTTATGTTCTTATTTTGGATATGGAATTTAATAATTCTATTATTGGCAGCTGCAAAATGTTTCCTCAAACTTTTCTGCAGTGTCCAAATATCATGAAATATTGGACTTTTTATTTTCGTAGTCCTTCGGGATAATGGATTCAAATACTTTGTTGTGTTGAAGATTGAATACTGCTATGGCCGGTGCTAGGGGGCGTGTGAGATGTTCGTTGTTCATTATCTCTCCTGAACAGACTAAATCAAACCGATTTTCACCAATTAAAGTTCGTTGTCATCGCATTTGGGTTATCTGTTCATTTCTAGATTTTCATATCAAACTGAGTCTTGAATTTTCACCTGTTAAATTTCATTATCATCACATTTGAGTTAAATCCTCGTTTCTAGACTTTAACATTTACATAAACATATTTGTCATACATTTACTTTTCTTGAGATATAAGCAAAATTGATCATTCATCGAGTACCATATAGTACTCCTGTAAAATGGTTTTTACTAACAAACATTCATGATTTTGTTTCTTTGTTTTCTTTTCATGTTCTACATAGAACCATCCAAGGCAGAGGATGACTCCGCCCTAGAAAGTCCTGAGTATCAAACAAGGAAGGTTTTCAGATCTATTGATGAAATTGCAAACAGACATAGAGTAAGGCATCCGAATCTTAATGTCCGAATATATATATATACATTTTTATATTGACATTTAACACATATGTAATCATGATTGAAGGAGAAAGTTGAAATATGGCGATGGTTGTTAAAAAAACGTTTCAAGAATGCAATACTTGAAAATTAAAACAAACATATACACACTCAATAGAACATCGATGTACAATAATATTATACATGTATACTGTAGTGTATTTCTTTTTAGAGATATAATTTTATTACTGCAAAAAAGTAACAAACATATGGAATGGACATATATGCCAAAACATTTGACACTCTGGTCAGCGTTTGTTAGAAAATGTTCTAATAATTTTTTTAATACGATTTGATTTTAGATGTTTACATTCCTTTTTCTTTTTCGACTATATCAATTACGTTGACTTAATTTTGTTGTCCTTTTCACAATTTTAATCTTTAAGTTCTAAAACAGTGATACATGTAAGATGTACACGAATGTACTTCATTTTCATCATCATCATCATCATCATCATCATCATCATCATCATCATCATCATCATCATCATCATCATCATCATTATTATTATTATTATTATTATTATTATTATTATTATTTATTATTATTATTATTATTATTTGAAGGTCGATATATAAAATTTTGCGAACCATTTGGCAAATCTTTTGTAACATGAAAACGTGAGCTTTATTTTCAAAAGAAGTTTTGAAAGACTTTGAAAACTTTACTTTAACTTTAAATTTATGATTTTTAACATTTTAATATTTGCATGATTTCTGTTTTAGGTAAAACACATGTTACAACTTCTTTACGAACCACTCGGCGAATCAGTGTTGAAATCAGCCAAACAACAAAATGTTGACCTGATCATCGTCGGCGGTCGCAAACATGGCAAATCTGATATGGGCTCTACAACCAACTTTGTCGCTTTCGAGTCGGATATACCAGTGCTAATTTATAAATACATTGACAGCTCAGTCCCTGATGGCAGCAATTCCAAATATACAAAAAGACAAAGATCGGAAAGTCTTAGTGACAAGATGAAAGCAATTTTGAAATTTAATTGAAATGACAAAACCATTAATGTTTTTTCTTAAGAATTGCTTTCATAGAATTTGATGTTTCTTTTAAACTAAGGTTTTTATTTTATGGGACTGGTAAGAAACTAACCATTTGTTGAAGAGCAAATACGAAATTATTGTAGAACACTTGTTTAATAGAATAGCGTGTGATAACAAGTTAAAACTCAACCTCAGATAAGTTTGTTTAAGAATGTACGCATTCTAAAGAAGCGTCTGCAAGGAACAGTATCCCAGCGATCATCATGGAATTTGAAGAATGTATTTGAAGTCTCTTCTATATAAGTTCATTTTTCGAACATTTCTATGTTGAAAATATAAGTGAATTCATAGGGGGCGTGTGTATGTTGCACTTTTTCATTATCCCTCATGTACAGACGCAATCAAACAGAGGCTACAATTTTCATGTAATTTTGTTGTGATTAATGCTTGCGAGGGATAACATTTTGTCCAGATATTATACAGGGTGACAGAAGGAATCCAGGAAAGTATCTGCCTAAATAGCAATTTATCATCGTTAACTCCAACTTTGATGTGTTTTAGTCAATATCATTTATTGACATGTTTAAGATATAGAGGATATTCAAGGTTTTTCTAAAGATATTGAATGTATTTGCATTGAGTGTAATGAAAATAAATATTGCATGGGTGGCGGTAGCCACGATTTTCATATTTCGTTGTTCATGTAAATAATAAATAAATATCTTTTAAGGTTTTACTAGTGTTATAACAGGATATTGGTAGATATTTCTTACATTTAGTAGCATAAGTAGGAGGTATGGTTTGTATCTTTAGCTACTTTTATTGGTCATGTGGAAAATTAATGTATCAATTGTATTGCGATGTTGTTTACGTTTAATTAGAAAATAAAGCATAAAGCGCTCACACACTTTACTTGTTCTGTTGATTTGTGACCAACATTTATCATGGAATGATATAAATATATTGGTGAAAACAACACACAATGTTTCCAGTGAAAAGTGTTTTGGCTGGAATATGTATATCATAAGTAAATTGCAAAATGGCCACGTGGTGTTTTGTGGTGTTTTGTTTGGTAATTAAAATATAATTAAAAATATAATGCACTTATAGATATAGAAAGTGGTACATTTTGGACCCATATCTATATCCCCGTTTCACTTACTAAACAAAGTACAAAGGTTTGGTGGTATAACTTCATTATAGCCAGATTTCTTAAATCTTGATATATCAAATCAGGATGTTACACTTAATGTTATTGATATTTGACTTTCTTTTACTTTGGGACCATACGCCGCTTTTCATGGCATGACACGCCCATTGTTTTATTGTTTAGGACACACGTATTATTTATTTTGAGGACCATACGCTGCTTTTCATTGAATAGACACTGAAGCTTCTATGATAACCGCATTATGGACACATTTGCGAATGTTCCTAACTCAAAATTTTACCAGTTCATGTTAAATTTTGAATTCTGCTTAAGCCGGTGCTAGGGGGCATTGGCGGTAGCTTGAAAATACCACTACCGCCCATAAACCGGCTCAATCAAACCGAACCTGCAACATTTTCAAGTTTGCCGTTTTGGTAGTTTTTTTTAAGGATTCTATTTTTCTCTATTTTATTTTGTTTACACTTAATTGTAATAATAGATTCTTAAAAATACAATTTTTGAAACTAATTCTTCATCTTCCACATTGATACTTGTAAACATATTATCATTAACCCCCATCTTTCACGTTGATATATTGTAATTATATTCTGAATATTTTACCTTTAATGACAGTGATGTATTTACCACTATGAACACTTCATCTGTATCATGAACGGGATTTCATTTTGATACTTTCACCACGTCATGACCTTTAGTACCTTCAAGTTGACATGAGTTTGATAAATGTGACGTTAGGGTTACACAAGGCTAATTACGAGTATAAGAGTTATTTTTCTAAATATACATTTTTATTGTATCCAATCATTTTCTCGGTGATCTAAGGCATTACCTAATGATAAAGAAAAGGAAAAAAGCACGAATATGAATAGCACGTATGTCCTCTCCCCGCTATTTTCGGGCTGTTTTTTTCCTGAGTGTCCGCTGGTGTGGCTGGGAGGTGTCGGGGGTGGGGGGCTGCGCAGGCTACGTTCTATGAACGTCGCCATGCCTTGTTGAACGTTTTCTCATTTTTTATGATTATTGCTTATATTCACAAAATGTGTCGATAAAATTATTGGATTCTAGCTTTTGCATTTCCTTTTTGTATCATTTTGTTTCGGCTGCATTGATATCAAATATAAATATAACTTGACGACACCCGATGGTTTGGAGAAATAAATTCCTTCCTTGACAGCCAATAACAGAGCCAAGTATAATGTTTTGTTGCAGCAGACGACAGTTTAATGACAGTTATTTATATTGCCTATACTCACACAGCACGTATGCTGCAGAGATAAAATGTGTAGAAAGACAATTTGACTGCGTTGCAGATGGCCATTCTTGTTTATTGATATAATAAAAGTAATCAATTATTTACTTGGAATAGAAAAGGGATCAGAAGGTACAAAAATTAGCTTTGACACTGTAAAATCCATCCATTGTAGAGAAGTATAGTCATGTAAAATGAAAAGTGTTTATTTTTTCATGAAAGCAACATCACTTTATAAATAAATTCTTATATTTTTGTTCATGTACACTATATTGTCAACAATTTGCTGACCTCGTTGTGGCTAAGGAGAAAGCAAGTGAAAAACTATAAGGGTATTCAACGACTGAAATGTATCAATAAATGATTAAAATTAGTTTGTCACAAACGTGTAAAGAAATAAAGAAATGGGGCTTGAATTGTTCAAATTATCTAACATCAACAAATACCATTTTATCCAGTACTCCTTTGTTCCTGAAATCAGAATGGTATTTTACCATAATTTTCCACAAGAACAAGAAAACCACTACACCAAGAATGAAAACATATAAGGTGAGACCTTTACATGCCATGGAGCGGTAAAGACATCTTTATAAATCATGCAATTGTATGACCTTAAAAGACTTATATATAACTCTATTTAACTGCTGTTTTTTCATGTCTTCGTTTATTTCTCTGAAATAAATGAGGTTTTCGGAAGCTAAACAAAATGCTGCCGGATTTCAAAACTCCGACTAAAGTCGGAATATCGTTTTAAATCCGTATCAGTTTTAGCTTGAAAACATATGGGTACATATCTGTAGTTAAATTAAGCGTATCTTTTTGTCAGAAATTCCCACTTGCATTACAAAGTTTCATTTCAACATAATGCTTGCAAAAAATCTAGCCAATAAGATTATCTACCCCTGACCTTCTGTTCTCTGATGCAAAATTATGTGCTTGACTTTGCAATCTGTAGCTGCGTAGGGGATATAATATTCTAGAATGTCAAAGATTTATAATTCCTGTCTGGATTCAACTCAATCGGAAATATATGCAATGGCAATAAAGGAATGTAACAAGTAACGTCTGTTTTAAAGTTGTTCTAACGATTATGAAAGAAAAGATTCGAATTCTGGTTGAAAGCTTTTTATGTATACAAAACCCATATCAGCTAGTAAGATTATTAGCTTTGGCATTTACAGTTTCTGATAATTTGCTTTCAATGCGATGTTGTTTACGACTTGATTTTTTGCTATTTTTCTTTGATGCTGTATGCGTAGAACTATTCGCGTGTTTCATACTTTTTCCACAGTGACATTCGATCCGCGGATACTTGTTTAGCGTGTTTTTTTTTCAACGTCAATAATTTCTTATATACTGGTTAATCAATCACAATATTGACGATGTAATTAAGCAATCATAATTAAATTAATTATTTAATAAAATGTATAAATGTTGACATGTGAAATCTTAAACAGTTCTTTACATATTCATTTACTATATAAAGTATTTTATGTATTTAATGTAACGATATAACAATATAACGATTTCCATCAGCAAAAGGGGGAATTGCACCTAGTCTGTCTGTAGTCCATTATATATGTTAAATGAAGGTCAATCCACCCGTTAAGGCACAAAATTTAGATTTTGCTGTCACTTGTGGTCGCCGGACATTCACCAGTACAAAAATCTGGAAACGAAGTGATCCCTCGGAAGCATTAATCACAACAAAATTACATAAGAATTGCAGATTAGGTTTGATTGAGTCTGTACATGAGGGATAATGAATAGGTGCAACATCCCTCACGCCCCCCTAGCACCGGCTTGAGCGATACTCAATTCTCAACACTTAAAAGTGCTGGCATCAATGATCCCGAATAATTAGCAAAAGATATGAATTTTCAGCTGTAAATTAGATCATAACTTAAATGTAAAGTAACTAAAGACAATATGATAACGAACAATGTGCCTAGCAAAAGGTACATCGTTTTTGTAATGTGTTAAAGAAATTATTCAATAGATATTCCTCATCACTTTTAAATCTCATCTTTTGCTATAAGCTTCATCTTCCACTACTGTCTGATTGAGTCTGAATTGAATATTTGGTCAACGTATAACTACAAAATTTTATAATGACACAGCAGACTTCGTAACCATGTTCATTTTAAAATATAATCAAGTATCTCATGTATGATAGTGTTAATTTGAAAACATATTTGTTTAATACATCTTGCTTCCGTTGATTGGCTTATGTTTGAGAAATTGAAGACACTTTTAAAATTAATATAGTATACATGCAATATTGCCAAGTCAACTAATTCAACTTTTAGAAAACTTCTCAAAATATTTTTAATTAAACTTATTTTTCCATTTTAACAGCCGGATATAGACCTTACCGACACTCTATAGAATTATGTTATTAAAATAATTAGTATTTTATGATATATTATCCATCATGGTTGTATAAACATAGGTTAAAAAACAAAAATCATTTGAAACTATTTGTACTCAAATTGATAAGTTTAAGAAAATCAATAGTTATAATCATTAGTTATACCAGTCATGTGTGACGACAAAGTCAAATAATGGGTAATAAATTTCACTTTAAACGCATGCTTTGTAAATTATTAACTTTCAGTAATTTCAATATATGTGTTAAATGTTCGAAATAATAATGATAATAAACCACATTTGTTTCATAAAACATTGTAATATTTCTCAATTTAATACGCCGCTATATTGTTGACGTTCTTGGAATAAATATTATTAGCTAAAGATTGACACTGCTTGGAGTAAAAATAATTACACTAAGCAAGTATTCGCGGGTCAATTGTCACTGTGTAAATATAGAAAGCACGTGAATATTTCTACAGATACAGTATTATATAACTTATAGTTATGTAGTTAAATGAAGCAATAACTATCTTGTATATAAGCATTACCCTTAAAGGAAGTATTAAGACACTGCAAATGCAAAATCTATTACATCTTTTTTGCTGAATACAATATGTGTTTTGTATTTCGTATTAAACAAATATCATGTAATTACCAATAAAAGCAATCAACCACCACAATTCGAACTTTTTTCTTTATCAGTTTATGTAAAACAACCCCATAACAGACGTTACATGTTACATTCCCATCTTACCATTGTATGTTTCCGACTGAGTTGAATCCAGACTGGAATTATAATTCTGTGACATTCTAGAATAGTATATCCCCTTCAAGCAGCTAATGATTGTAATGATTGCACAGCCAAGCAAATAATTTTGTATCAGAGAGGAGAAGTTAATGATAGATAATCTTATTGGCCAGACGTCTGCGGGCATTATGTTGAAATGAAACAAGTTATACTCTTTTCAGTCTTTGTCATTCTAATACCTTACTGCACTTTGTGAAAATCGCTTTGTCTTGTTCATCTTTGGTCTCAATTTGTTAAATTATCAAGCAATTCGCGGATTGAATGTCTTCTTTAATATTTACATATGTTCTGTTTGAAATAAA